ACCCCCCTCCCTTAAAAAAAAAATTTTACTTTTTTTTTTTGTATTTTTAATTTCTATTTTTTTCGTTTTTCTGCACCACCCCCAATTTTTTTTTAGCTTACACATTTTAAGGTAAAAGGTATTTTTTTTTATGTAAGATGAGCATGGTTCTAAAACATGAGTCAAGTTGGGCGGGTTGGGTTATGAACCATAGTTTAGCCCATCTTAACCCAAGTACACTTTGGGCTGGGTTGGGCAATGACCCATTTATTGATCCATTTATTGACCTAACCCATCTTGACCCGCCCAAATTCAGCCTAACCCGCCCATTTGCCACCCCTAAAGATGATGACGATGGTCTAATTGGAGTTTTAACAACCAAAAATTTCTTAGTTGCAGCCACCAATGCCATAGAAATCAACCTTACTTCACCAGGTCCCTTAGTCCTTCCCTTATCGGAAAATTTTCTTTTCTTGAAAAATCTTGTTATAAGACGATTGTTTGGGGTTGAAAATGTTAAAAAAAAATATGTACCAAATTCCAAATTGGCTATTGATCATTTCTTCCCCACATGTGGGAGGGTTAGCAGTACTGAATCAACAGAAAAAAAAATATTGGATTTAGTGATGTGGAAATGGAAACTTGAAAAATTACATTGAAACAATTTGGGCCAAGGGGAGAATCAAGAAAGGTGATAAAGGGCCCGTTTGGCCATAAAAAAAAGATTCTTTTTTTTTCGAAATTTTTTCAGTTTTTTTTTTTTTTAAAAAAATTAATGTCTGGCCATGAAGTTTTCGATTTTCACTTAAAGATGAATTTTAGAAGTTTTCGAGAATATGAAAAACTCTAAAAAGCTATTTTTCAAAATTTTCACTTCAGATCACTCACAGAAATTCAAAAACAGCCCAAAATTATATTCATGTCCAAACACAACTCTATAATTTTCAAATACCATTTTCACCTAAAAAGAATTCACCTTTTGCCAAAAATTTACAATTCTTATATTCAAACACCCACAAAATTTGGAAAATGGCTTTTGGCTCGGGTTTCAAATGTAGCAGTGTGATTTGGCTTACCACAAAGGACGTTGATGGAAATGACGTGAAAAATGCATGGAAGGAAGAGAGGGAAGCTCTTGATCTCAACTTGGACAGCATTGAAGCATCCTATGACTATTTTGAAACACCTAATACCTGTTTGGCCAAGCTGAAAAAATCAGCTTATTTTGAGAAGTATTTTTTTTTCAAAACGTTTTTTTCAAAAGTATTTTTGGTGAAAAACAGTTTGTGTTTGGTTAATTAATTTGAAAAGCACTTCTAAGCAACAATTTGTGTTTGGCCAAACTTTTAAAAAGTGCTTCTAAGTGTATTTTTCTCAAAAGTGCTTCTCAAAAAAGTGCTTATAGAAAGAAGCTACTTTTTTCCGCTTCTCCAAAACTGTTTCTGCTTCTACTCAAAAGCACTTTTTCTTCTTCTAAAAGCTTGGCCAAAACGCTGCAACTTTGAAAAAAAAAGTACTTCTTTTTTAAAAGTGCTTCTCAACTTGGAGAAGCTTGGTTAAACATGCTATAAATCAACTTGATTTTATCATAGTGTATTTTTCAATTACCTCCTATAGCAAAGGTTAACACCTTATTTATTTTAAATAAATATCATTTAAAAAAATTATATTCTATAGATACCTTTTAATGTTTATAGCAAAATATTTAATTTTGGTTACCTCCTACCCCTAAGCCACTAAATACGCTATTCAGTTACACTATTTTCTTTCTCTCTCTACTTTGATACATGCCATTCTCTTCCCTATTCCCCGAAAACACGATGCTCAATCTCAACAAAGATCGTGCCACCAAAAGCCCAAACAATACTAAGAATACCAATGCCGCCACAGATATCACCGCCATCTTTAGTATCCGACTGATGCTTGTACCCAATTACAGTCATTAACTGCCTTTGTGGCATGTGTAATTTTCATTCTCTATCGACGTCGATAGAAGAAAAGTGACGCTGGTTTGTCTTTGATCTCCAGTAGCATCCTTTCTTATCCCTCCTCAATAACGTACCCTGAAAAGGCTTCACACTATTTCGGAATTCACGTATTTGACTACAATGAACTGCAGGAAGCCACAAGCAATTTCAAGGGAGTTTGGGGCTTTTGGTGGCACTATCTCCAGTAGGGTTTGTTCTTGAACAAAGACGACGGAGTTTGGGGCTGAGCAACATGATTTTCTATTAATATATTTTAATGTATTTTCAACGTATCACGCTGTATTTTCATGTATTTCATTGTATTCATTGTCTTTTTTTCATTGTAATTCAATGTATCTCGCTGTATTCCATGTATTTCATTGTATTCACTATCTTTTTTTCAATTGCATTTCAATGTATCCCGCTGTATTCTATGTATTTCCTTATATTCACTGTCTCGCTATATGCCATGAATGTATTCATATATATTTTTTTAATTAATATAATTTATGTATTCAGATGTATTATATAATTTATCTGAAGATTGCTATATTTTTGGAGTACTTTTCGGTTGAGAATCTTTTTTATAACTGAAAATACAAAATTTGTGTGTTATAATTGAGTTTGTTGAGTTATATTAGGAGTCTATTATGTTAATTGATTTACTTTCCGTTTAAGAACAGTGTAATCCCCTGTTTCACGCCGTGAATACAGTCGAATACAATAAGTTGTCCAGCTGTAATCCCATGTTTCACGCCATGAATACAGTCGAATACACTCGAATACAATAACTGATTAGCTGGACTTCCTTGATTCACGCCTATTTTTGCTACTGTATTCATGAATACAATAGCTTAAATACATCGAATACATCTTATAACAACAGAAAACATATCTACAATCCGTAATATAGCAAATGGTATCTATAAATAGCTAATTACCACTAAAAGATAGTGGTTTATGAAAATTTTATAATTATTAATTTGCAAAGTACATACTAGCTTTAGCTTTAAATGATTACAACTCATCCTAACATTACTTAGGTAGGTGGCTGAAACTTTTAGTCCACCACATTTTCCTTGTATATATGCGTAGATAATATATCTTTTCAAAAAAACATGCATATATATATATATATATATACTACATCACTTCGATCGAAAATAATATGAAGTATAATTAATTTGAAAAAAAAATCTTTAAAATCTTTACAACCCAGAGTTAAACCACCTAAAAGTTGACTTATAACAATACATCAGACTTTTCGAAAATCCTACGTTACTGTGTCGATCATTATGCACATTTTTGCTTTCTGCCTATTCAATGAATCTTATACAAATAGCGGTCGGCTTTACTCTTTTTTTTTTAGCCGACATACATAAATTTTATATATATATATATATATATATATATATATTATACGTCCGTCGAATTATTTTAATTTAAAGGATTATGTGGGTGGCTATTAAGGTTAATTTTTCATAATTCAAAGGTCCTTCATCCCAGTGAACCGCAACTTCGGTTTGGGCCTTGGTTGTCAGGTTGGATCGGGTTAAGAGTTTACGTGGCCCAATCAATTTGAGGATAAACTGGTAATTCAACGAAAATTCGAAACTAAAATAAAGCCAAAATTTCCGAATTCCCTCCCAAACAAACCGCCAGAATTACTTTGGATTCTTTTCAAGATAGCTAAACAACAACTGGGGCAATAAATCAAACAGTTAAGCTGCATTTCAGATCTACAGGGAAAAAAAGGTACTCTCCTCTACTAAAGGCAGATCTACAATTTTAAGCCGTTCTCTGTAGAATATTACTGTATTCACTTCTAGTTTATGCCAACATATATGGATTTAGTGTGTATGTGTGTGTAATTTTTCAACACTATACAGTTTAACCAGAATGCTTAGGCACAGCAAAAAAGCGACTGATATAATAGTTTCTTTTTGTTCCCCTGTAAGATTTGAAAGCCAAAGCAAAACACTAACTTTTCCTCTTTTTTGTTTTGTTTTTTGAACAGTGGAGTTTTGAAGCTAAGGAAAAATGGCAGGAAAAGGAGGGAAAGGGCTAGTAGCGGGGAAGACAACAGCTGCAGCAGCTGCTAACAAAGACAAAGACAAGAAAAAGCAGCCTATCTCTCGTTCTTCTCGCGCTGGCCTCCAGGTATATACATAGTTTTACTTAGTTAAGAGCAGAACTTGTCTGATTTTTATAGGATATGGAATTACTGTCATAGGTGTTTGTATTTTGAGGTTAATGAACAATTGCAAAGTTCAAAATGAAAATTTTGAAGTCTTGCATGGTTCCATGAAGTTTTTTAGAATGGTTTTTCAAATTCAGAGTTTAGCTGCTTGTTCTATTACATTGTGTATGCATTATTTATTTACAATCTCAAGTAGTGTTAGATCCAAGATTTAAAGTTGATGTGTTTAACCTTAGGTTCTTAGCATTGAACTCGTTGTACTTCTAAAATTATGAGTTTAGAATTTGATATTTGTTGAGATTTTAATAGTTTTTCACATATATATTATGTTTCAAGTCAAAAGTACTTGGTTTGGTTGAACCAATAGTAAATACACAACATCTGTCACTGTCCTCAGACCATGTTTAGAACACACTATGATATCTATAAATTTCATGCTTTCGAAATGCAATTGTTTTCTTATCTTTTTTACTAGTTTCTGGAAATGTACGTTGCACGGTATTACATGTTAGTTATTATAAAACTTGTTTACAAAAGTATTTGTTAATGGATTCGACAAACATGAGATACAATCAAACAACACACCACTACTAAAATGCTATTCCATAATCTTCTTCACTGTTTTTATAGTGATACATCATTTTTTTTTAATATTTTGGATAGAAACTATACACACCTATCAACACATTGAGAAATTTTACATATATCTTTTTCCTGTCTTTAAGTACTCTTTCACCAAAAGAAATCCAAGTGGGTAATCTAAATCCTAACAAAAAGGTTACAACATCTCTATGCCGTTTAGATCATTTCAGTGAACACTCAAGAAGCACTTTACACTTCATTACATTAGTACTGTATTTATTATGTCGACGATTATCTACAAGTGAAAGTGCACACAATATACTTAATTCATCACAAAAAGAATAGAATGGAAAGAAAGAAAAGCATACCACTGCCTTATTGTTGAAATTTGTCTTTTTGGCTTCAACTCTTTTCGTAAGATTATGTTCAGCATAACAACAAAAGAAAAATCAGGCTTTTAGCTAACACCTTGAATGTATGTCTTTAATCACCTCTATCTCCACCCCGGCTCTTATGCTTTAAATTCCTCTCCCACTTCTGCTTCTCCGGTGTGGATATAAATATATTTGGGTACACATTATATTTTGCTTATCGAGCTCATCCTTCAGTTTTTTCTAATATTCATAAAATTAGTTCCAAAAGAATGAGTTACTTTAGTTCACCTTGCTTAAAAATTAATTAAATTGATACCTTTAAAAAATATGATAAATAAATTATAACCAACATAGAAAGAATACTCATGACTCATGTGACTCAAATTAAAAACAAAAAGTAATAAACATAGTCATGTAAGCATTAATCGTAACCAATCAAATCTGTCTAAACTAATTAAAGGAAATAATAGATCAGAAGCCTAACTGAAGTAGAAAAGAACATTTTTTGCCTAAAGCTTGAACCACAATTGTTCTGTCTGTACTCAAGTTTGCCACTATAGACATTTTGTTGTGCACCTTTATAGAGTGTGATAAAAAATGTCAAAAGGCTGGAATGTAAAAATATTATAACCATTAAAGATGAAAGAAACTAACAATCAAAAAGTCAGTCCGGTGCATAAAGTATTTCGCGTTCAAACTGGGTCTGGATTAGGGTCACACCTAAGGGGTGTGATGTAAAGAAAATACCAATCAAAGTTGAATAATTAAAATAAGTTTAATTTACAAGCTAACTGGCTACAAAGTCACTATAATAAAAATGAAACAAGCGAATAATAACGATGTCACATCAAAGAAGAAAGAAAAGGATAGTATTTTACTATTATAACATATTATCTTACAAAAAAGATGTAGCTCTGAAGAGTGCATAAACATCCACAATAATATATCATTTGCATAAGAAGTATTCTATATTTTGACAAATGAAACAAAAGGGAGAAAATGCCAAAAGTTTAGAGAGTAAAAGAGAAACATGTTTGTCCAGCAAATACTGTAATAAATTAAAAGGAGATCTTCACAACTAAACACACTCAGCTCTTCATTCTTAAGAATAGAGGAGGCGTAATTAAGATGATACATAGAAAGAGGAATAGGAAAGGATTATGTGGCTTTTAAGTTTTAGCCAAAGCACATAATAATTATTCGATCAGTAAAAACTAAGAGGAAGATGCAAGATGGAGGTGTTTTAAGAGGACTAATGAAGGGGTGTGGCTCTTCGTAGTGCAATATTATAACTGTGGAAGATAAAGAAACAAACAATCAATGAATAACTAAGACAATTAAACTCACAAAATGTCTGCCAACGAAACTGATTGAATAATTCTCCATATTCATCCGGTTAAAAGTAACAAAAGTATTTATTTACTGGAAGGTCAGTTTTTGGCTCAAGGATAAAATGGTCATTCAATTTTTAAAAGGATATATTAGTAACTTAACTTTGAAGATAGGGTGTTCCCACTTTTAGTATAGTATGATGATGATATGATGATGATGGATGTTAACTTATAAAGCATGTGGGATGCAGTGCCTAAAAGATATTGGATTCTAAGTGGTGCCTTTTAGCAGTTTTGATCTTTTCAAATATTATCTTTTTCTTTCTATCAATAAAATCCTTTTGGCAAAATAGAAGAAATCTGACATGTTGACAAGAGAAGGCCAGTTTCTTGTAACATCTTATGCAGGCCTGCAGGTAATACATAATTTTACCTTAGTTAAGAGCAGATGTTTCTTGATTTCTATAGGATTTGAAACAACGGCTGCAAGTGTTTTATCTTTTTTACCTCCCAAAATCTGAATATACAACAATTACGTGGTTTCAAGAAGATTTGAAGAATTGCTTTTCAGTTTCATACCAACTGCTTGTTCTGTTCCATTATGTACACATTTTTTTTCTGGTTCGCAAAACTCAGGAAGCTCTCTGCTCAGAACCAGCTATGGTATCAAGAAATTTCATGCTTTTGGAGTGCAATTGTTTTCCTATCTTTCGTTTGGTGGAAATTATCTTTTAAATAATGTGGGATGCAAGTCTATTAATATGTTGGATTCTTGTTTGCTATTTAGCAGTCTTTATTTGATCTTTACAAATCTAATCCTTTATTTTCTTCCAATAAGCATAAGGAGGTGATGAGTTAACATGTCTAAATTGAATATCCAAAGATCAGCATACTAAAATCATAAACTATGCATCAACATTCTATAATTGCAAGAAAGTGACTTATCCTAAAAGTTCTATCATTCCAAATACTGTGGGATAGAATGATGTGACATCCAAAGCACACACGAAAAACTAATGGCATGCTACCTTACTCTTTTGTGATCTTGAATATGCAAAGGAGGCGTGGCATCAATTTTGCTTCACCTTACCGAGGACATGACTCACGATAGGAATGTGTGGAGGTTAAGGATTAAGGTGGTAGGTTGACGGGTAGTTGTGAGTTTCTCCTAGGTTTACCAGTAGTACTAATACTATTCTTGTATTCTTTTATTCTTGGTTCTTTATTACTTGTTATGTCACTCGCTTCCATTACCTTTTACATTACTGTTGCTATTGCTTGTTGCTTTAGTTTTATTGTTCCTTAAGCCGAGGGTCTATCAGAAACAACCTCTCTGCCTTTATAGGATAGGGTAAGGTTGCGTACACACTACCCTCCCCTGACCCCATGTATGGGATTAAGGCATTAAGGTGTGTTTGTTGTTGTTGTTGTATAGTTTTGAACATTAAGACTCTGCATAGGGGAAGCTTCGTGTATTGGGCTGCCCTTGTAGTTTTGATCATTCAGATATCTTTGGAACAATAGAAGTAACTTGATATGATTCTTGGTTTGCTTTTCCTCAGCACCCTCCTATGATACTGATTTTGATTGTTTTGACATGTTTGGGGAGTTATAGTTTCCAGTGGGAAGAATTCATCGTCAGCTCAAGACCAGAACCTCAGCCCATGGAAGAGTTGGAGCTACAGCAGCTGTTTATTCTGCTGCAATTCTGGAGTACCTGACTGCAGAGGTTCTTGAATTAGCTGGTAATGCAAGCAAGGATCTTAAAGTGAAGAGAATCACCCCCAGACACTTGCAACTGGCTATTCGTGGAGACGAGGAACTTGACACCCTTATCAAAGGGACCATTGCTGGTGGTGGTGTCATCCCTCACATTCACAAATCCCTCATAAACAAAACCACCAAGGAGTGAACTTCTCCTGCTTTAGCTTGTGTCGAGACTAATGACATTGCATGTTTGTTAATGTTTTTCCTGTTGTATGCGGGTTGATATAGTACTTGTTCATGTTTGATTACAAGAATTTATCTGATGTTATGGACATATTAGTTGGATACTGTTATTTTGTAGGTCTTAGTTGGTAAGTGGCTTGTTGATGTATGCATGTTATTGTTTATTGTGGTACTTCTAGCTTGTTTGGCCAAGCTTCTCCAATCCTAGTATTTTTTTTTAAAGTTGAAGTGTTTAGCCAAGCTTTTGGATGAAAAAAATGCTTTTGAGGAGAAATAGAAGCAATTTTGGAGAAGCAGAAAAAAATAGCTTCTCTCCAAAAACACTTTTGAGAAAATTACACTTAGAAGCAGTTTTTAAAAGCTTGGCTATTCATCAGCCTTCTCTGCATTGTCTGCCAAAGTGCCTGTGTGTATTGGACCGGTAAATATGTTTTCATTAGTTTCTTGCTAAATAAAGGAGGAATGAAAGATCAGTGCTATTCGGGGAGTATCAAGTAAAGACCTTTGATTGAATTTGTCAAGGAAGGGATCATCATTAAGAATGATAGTGTATTTATGCCATGGACTTGTCACATGAGATGAAGCAGTTGACAGGAACTAATATGTAAACTTGATTTTCACACTTAAGTTTCTTATAACTGCACATCATCGATTAATGCACTAAACTATCTATTATTTTTAGTTTCTTTCATCAACATCAAGCTCATTATCAACTTAGTGATCTTGTCTTCTCAATCTACAAATCTCTGCCATCCACCTTGTTTTCCGAATCCTCTTAACGTACTTGTATTTGTATGAGAAACATCTGTGATCATGTTTGTCTTTTTTGTCTATCGTGAAACAGAATATTTTCTTATACTCGAATATTCAATCATAAGTTCTATATAAAATCCTCATTTATATTCAATCATAAGTTCTATGTAATATAGCAGCATCTATACTAAATTTTAATGAGGCGTGCACCATCCGAAGTAGATGTCTAACTGTCTCAAGTTCCCATGATAAAACAATATTATCTACACAGTTAACATTGTTGAAGGAGTCTTGCTGAAAAAGGCAATATGGAGGTCACAATTTGAATGATTCAATTGCCTTTTTATTTTTCTCCTACTACATTAACCTAATATTTTGAATAGACTCATCAATAGAAAGTAAGGTGAAATAAATCATACAGACAAAGAAGCGTGGGATTCACAGGAAAAAAAAAAGCAACTGTATAAGCAAGAAAAGCAAAATGCAGAAGATGAAACTAAATATTATGAATAAAGATAAGAAAGGATCTCAAAAGCATCAGTCTAGTCTGCACAGGCGAATTTTTGTCACTAATGACCTGTTTGGCCAAAGCTTCTTTTGAGGCAAAAGTACTTTTTCTTCTTTTTTTGGCCAAAAGTGCTTTTTTTTTTTTTATTTTTTATTTTTAAATTAAGGTGTTTGGCCAAGCTTTTCAAAAGAAAAAAAGTGTTTTTGAGGAGAAGCAGAAGCAATTTTGGAGAACCAGAAAAAAGTAACTTCTCTCCAAAAACACTTTTCTGAAAAACACTTTTGAGAAAAATACGCTTAGAAGCAATTTTTTAAAGCTTGGCCACAACACTAATTGCTGCTCAGAAGTGCTTTTCAAATTAATTAGCCAAACACAAACTGCTTCGCACCAAAAGTACTTTTGAGAAAAAGCACTTCTCAAAGCAATTTTTTAAAGCGTGAGTTACTAATGGAGTAGAAAGTACAATATGATTGGAAGCCAACATTGTGCAAAGCATGTAGGAAATATGGCCATGATGAACAGGTGTGTAAACTAAAAAACAAGTTGCAGATGTCAAACCAACAGAGGAGGGGAATGGCAAAAAGGAGGAACAACCAACAGAACAAATGAACAAACCATCAGCTATTAAGGATGGGGAAAGAACCAGCAAAATGCAAGGGAATAAGATGGAGACAGGGAAACAAAGAATGCAAGAAAATCAGGATAAAGCAGGGTGGATAACACCAAGCAATGCTACAAGAACCACAAGTAGACAAACAAAGCAGGGGAGGGAAACTGGAGATAGAAGCTACTACAACAATTTTCAGATACTTAAGTCAAAGGATACTGATGGAGCTGAGGTTAGCAGGAAAGGGGAGGGGAATGTGGGAGGGATAGCATTACCTCCTATGAGTAATGGATAACATTCTATGTTGGAATGTTAGGGGTATGAATGCCCCTAACAAACAAAAGGAGGTAAAACTCCTTTGTAATAAAGAAGAGATAGGGTTGATAGGCATGGTAGAAACCAAAATAAAGTCTGATAAAATAAACCAAGTGGCAAACAAGCTATTTGGAGGATGGGGGAGTATAACAAATCTGAGAGAACACTATAATGGCAGAATTTGGGTGGCATGGAGACAGGATTGTTTTAAAATAACTCTGAGCTCCATGTCTGATCAAGCTGTAACATGCATGGTGAGTCATAATAGGCTGCAGACTGGCTTTATGATGACTATAGTATATGCTTTCAACACAAAGGAAGAGAGAAGGAGCTTGTGGAACTACCTAGACACTGTGAGTAAGAATGTGGGGGGCTCATGGATAGTTATAGGAGATTTCAATTCTGTGTTGCATACTGATGATAGAGTGGGGGGGGGGGGGAATCCTGTAAGTTTGGCTGAAATAATAGACTTCCAGCAGTGCATAGACCATTGTGAACTACTTGAAATGCCAACTAGTGGGAGTAGGTATACCTGGAATGATAGACATGGAGATAATAGGATCTTATCAAAAATAGACCGGGTTTTCATTAACACAGCATGGCTCAATCTAATGCCGGCATATAAGGCTTGCTACTTGGAGGAAGGGATAAGTGATCATTGCCCACTAAAGCTATCAAATGTTAACTCACCAAGGAGGGCAAAAGTTGCCTTTAATTTCTATAATGTTTGGGCATCTCATCCAAACTTTATAGATATAGTTAAGGCAGGATGGAGGAAGGAAGTTGAGGGATGCAGTATGTTTCAAGTGGTTAGGAAGTTAAAAATGATGTAGAAGGATTTGAAGATGCTGAATAAGAAGTATTTCAGCAACATTATAGAAGAAGCTGATGCAGACAGAATGGCCTTGGCTGCACCTCAAGCTGAACTTCATAAAAATCCAGTGGATGTGGGGCTCCAGCTAGCAGAAAAGCAGAAGTTTCAAAAATTCAAAAGATCATCATACTTGGCAGAGGTATATCTTCAACAAAGGAGCAAGGCTACCTGGATCAAACTGGGAGATGATAATAATAGGTACTTCTTTTCAGTAATAAAGCACAGGAGGTTGCAGGAAGCAATTATCCAATTAACTGATAATGCTGGAGACATAAAAACTGAGCAGGAAGAGATAGCAGGAATCTTTGTAGACTATTACCAGAAATTACTAGGGACAAAAAGAAGGTTTAGGGATCATGCCATCCAGGGGTTTCTGAAAAATGGGTAAGTGCTACCAATTACTCAACAACTACAACTATTAAGACTTTACACAGGAGCTGAAGTGAAAAAAGCAATGTTCAGCATAAATGAAACTAAAAGCCCTGGACCAGATGGGTATGGGAGTGGTTTTTACAAAGCAGCCTGGAGAATAATTAGAGAGGATGTGATAAAGGCAGTGCTGGAATTTCTTGAGACTGGAGAACTACTCACTCAGATTAACTCTACTAGTATAACACTTATTCCAAAAGTGAAGAATCCCTTGCAGGCAAGTCAATTTAGACCTATTGCTTGCTGTAATGTCATTTATAAATGCATTTCCAAGATCATCTGTACTAGATTGAGGAAAGTTATTCCAATGATTGTAGCTGATAATCAAGCAGCTTTCATTGAAGGAAGGTCACTTATCCACAATGTGCTGATATGCCATGATCTTCTAAGACACTACAACAGGAAGACAACTCCTAGGTGCTTGATGAAGATTGATGTAAAGAAGGCCTATGATATGGTGAGATGGGAATTTCTGGAGGAAGTACTCATAGGATATGGTTTTCCAATGCCATTCATCCAACTGATAATGGTGTGTGTTACAAAAACTACTTTTACTGTCAAGGTGAATGGTGCAGGATATGGCTACTTTGAAGGAAAAAGGGGATTGAGGCAGGGAGACCCTATGTCTCCATTATTATTTGTACTTGTCATGGAGTACCTAACAAGAGGGTTGAACAAAATGAGTGAACTGCCAGATTTCCAATTTCATCCCATGTGTAAAAACACCAAACTGACACACTTGATATTTGCAGATGATCTGATGTTATTTTGCAAAGGTAACAGTCAATCTATCCATAGGATGTTGAAAGTGTTGAATCATTTCAGTACAGTGTCAGGGTTGGTAGCAAATATGGAGAAGTCAAACATATATTTAGCAGGAATGGATGAAGCAAGTAAACAGGCTATAGTGAGTTCTACAGGTTTCTCAGTGGGCACACTACCAATGAGATACCTGGGACTACCATTAACATCAAAGAAATGGAGCAAGGTAGAATGTCACCAGCTAGTAGAGAAGATCACTACAAATATCCAAGCAGGCTATGCTAAACTTCTGTCATATGCAGGTAGACTGCAAGTGATCAATTCAGTATTGTTTGCAATGTATAACTTTTGGGGGGCTGTCTTTATACTTCCTCAAAGTGTTATAAAAGCAATTGATAGGAAGTGTAGGGAGTATCTATAGGGCACTGTAGAAGGACATGGGAAGATGGCATTGGTATCATGGGAAGTTCTATGCAGACCAAAGAAGTATGGTGAATTGAACATAAAGGGATGTAAAAGTTGGAATATAGCATCAGTTGGGAAATTACTATGGCAATTAGTGACAAATAAAGAAGTGTTGTGGGTGAGATGGGTACATGGGGTGTATATGAAATCATGTAGAAGCATCTGGGATCATAGGCCACCATCTGATTGTAGTTGGTATTGGAAGAAGTTAAATAGTTTAAAACAAAATATGGCACAATGGTATCATGGAAGTACATATAGGCTGACTAGCAATTGGCAGTATTCAGTATCTAGCAACTACAATGCAATGCTAGGACAATTGTCAAGGTGTAGGGAAATGGAGTTGGTATGGAGTAGGACACTGCTGCCAAGACACAGATTTGTCCTGTGGCTGGCATTCCAACAAAAAATGCAAACAAAAAGCAGATTAGTACAGATGAACATCCCTATAACAGGTAATGCTGAATGCTGCCTATGTGATCTGGGAGTGATTGAGACACGACAACATCTGTTTAGGGATTGCAGTTGGTTTAAAAACATGAGAGATGCACTAACAAGTTGGGCAGCAATAAGGTTACCAAACATGGCAGTACCAAAGATGTTACAGTGGATCAAAAGAAGGCACTGGAAAAATAAAGAAGAAGGTTGCAACAGCAATCATAGGAGCAATGGTATACCACACTTGGCAAGCGAGGAACTGGAGAATTTTCAGACAAATTAGCTTGAATCTGGAATTTTGTACTGGGCAAATTGAAAAGGAGATGGTGGACAGATTAGGCATGTATGCAGAGTCCAAAAGAGCAAAGCAGTGTCCATTGATGATACAAAGATTATGTAATTAGGAAGTAGCATGTAGTTAGGAATCCTGTAGTTTTTTAATTCAAAAGTCATGAAAGTTTGTACTTAGAAAGGTGTTTTGATGTTTGAGGTCTTGTTGTACTAGAAGAGCTAGTACAATGGATGCTCTTAGGATGTAAAGCATTTGATTGTTATGGTAATATTCACATTTATTACCAAAAAGAAAATAAGCTGATTTTTGCAGCTCGGCCAAACGGGCTATAAGAACCAGAACAAATATAGTCAGGCTTTTAAGTTCTAAGTCTAAGATTCCCCTTTATATGTTAGGCACGTGACACATAAAGTAGTTCATTTTTCAAGAAATTTGTCTTAGTCATATCCATTAGCTTTTCTCGCATATATGAGAGTGTTGAAATAAACCTTGGTCTCCATGGAAGAAGGGTGCATTTGAGGTAAAGAATCAAGGATGTGTCAACACTTCCCCGGAGCTGTGAAACTAACAAGTCTATTAGAAAGTCGGAATTCTTAACTTTTACACGAATTTTCACGTGAATGAAATCCGTTGAGTAGTGGTCAAAGAAGATGGTATTACACGTGTTTATGAATTAGGTGAGTTTCAAGCTGGAAAAATGGTTGGACAAGCAGATGGTAGAAGATGGAAGAGGGTGCATTTGAGTTAAAGAATCAAGGATGCATCTACACTCTTTCCCAGCCGTGTTCATGCAGAACTAACTATCGCTAGTCTATTAGAAAGCCGAATTAATTAATAATTTTTACACACTTCAACGAAATAGATAAAGTAATCTTAATGGAGATGAGATTGAACGTGTTTATAAAGTAGATGAGATTCAAGCCGGGAAAGCGGTTGAAAATGGAGAGAAGATAGAAGATGCAAGAAGAGCACCTTGGACACAATTAATCAACAAAAACATACCCAGTGTAATGGGGTCTGCGGAGGGTAATGTATACGCAGACCTTACCCCTACCTTGTGAAGGTAGAAGGATTGTTTCCGATAAACCCTCGGCTCAAAGATTGGACACAAAGAATCAAGAATAGATAATTTCGGGACACCATCAACAGGTGAGGCTGCCACATGATCTGATCTTTCCTTGATAGATGAAACAAAAGGGAAGTTTAGATCATGCTGGCAGCTTCAACTGCTAGTGGTTCACGGTGCCACGATCGATCTTCTGAAAAACAGTCGATCATGTAAGCAGTGGCGGAGCAAGAAATTCTAAGAAGGTAATTTAAAGATGATTTCTCTTATCTTCTCTGAACTAATAAATAGGCCAAGGTTTAGAAGGTGTGGGTTGGAAGAACCAAGGAGATCTATTTATACAAGTCTAAGTACTTTGTTATCTCTTTAAGTGATTAGTACTTGTTAAAACTGGGCTAAAAAATCTTGTGACATAAGTCAACGAGCTTTTCGACACTTTCTCAAAATATACTAATAACTTAAAAGACTTTACTTTCTTATGACAATGTAGCAATTAACGACGTTAGCGGATTCAAAATTTAGACGTTGTAGATTGTAGTTACGATATAAATAATTTCACTTCACGAAAATGAGAGCTTCATATACTTGGAATGCATGTCTTCTTTCTACTTCTTAAAACACTCGAAAAAGAAAGGCTTCTGTTTGAATCATAGGCAGAGCTGGAGCCAAGGTTCTAAATTTGCCACGGAATCCATAACTCGTCTTAGTTACTGGGTTCGCAATTAAATATTTATATATATTTAATGAATTTTCTAGTACAAATACAATATTTGAGTAAAAGTAATTAGGTTCGACCGAACCCCCACCTCATAGGCTAGCTCCTCCGCCTCGATCATAGGCGATAGAATTCAGAATATAAAATGAGTTAGTTTAAAATGAACACGATCTTATTATGTGAATATGTTTAAATTCATATGTATATTTACATAGTTGGAACTAAAAGTAATAAATTGATCGGAACTGATCTTAATAAAATGTGCACTTTATCTGATAGCTGATTATATCGAAGTAAAAGATCTAAGTATGATATGAATAATGCCCCATTGGAAAATCCTTTTTTTCTTTTTCATTTCCTTACAAGTGTCAACTTTTAGTACCAATGAGATTGATGTCAAGACCCAATCCCATGACACGTATTGTTCGCTTTGGGCTTATGTCACTCGAATTTGTCTTTCGAGTTACGCTATATCGAGCCCCAAAAGCGTGCGTACCATGTGAACTTGTGTCATGCCTTATAAAGCTCTTCATTTTTATCTCTCATTCCGATGTGTAATTCGTCTAAGGTGACATGTGTACCCCTTATTTAGAAGCTTGTCAACATAGAAGTCTGCCAGTCCTGCTTGACGTAGCCTCATCAGCCCGCGCTCCATAATGGACATCACAATTGAGGGGTGTACCTTTATTTCCCTTTAGAACAAGAAATCAGTTATTGCCTCTCTTGCTGCACATATTTCTTGTCAGTTACTAATAAAAACAGAAATTTCTAAAGACAGATCCATTGTTTATTACTATTTCAATACATATAGTGTTTGGAGTCTGATCTGTAAAGGTGAGTATGTCTGATACATGAATTTCTTTTTTCCTTATCAAAAGAGAAAAAGTAAAGAAAAGAAAAGGGCATAAATGGTTATTATAGTGATGAAAAGTTTTAGTGATTTTGACGTTAAGTTGTTTTCGGATTGTTTTGATTCCTTTGGTTGGTTTGAGAAAGATGGCAACCTATAGATGAATGCAGAGTCACCCCCTTTTGTCAAAGTGTTAAAAAGGTTCAGAACTTATTGGCTTGAATCTGACTTTTTACATGAAAAAGTCAAAAGGCGTCAATATATAATAAAATAACTAGCTACACCCTTTAAATACATGTGTCTCCGAACTAAAGGACTTCAAGTAATGTGCACGGACATTGTAGAATTTTTTTCACTATTACATTAAGTTGATATGCGTTAAAAAATAAAAATTTGTGATAGTATAAAAACAGAATATTAACGTGCTATATTCAATTAAATTATACTAATAACAATTTTTTTGGTACTGAATATATATATATATATATAATTGAAATCCAACATAAAAGTGATTGTCGTTGAAAAACAGCCTTTTCTAAAATGCAACAACATAAGTGTCTTATCTTTGTCAACGTAAGATGCTACTTTTTCTTCATAGTCTGAATTTTGGCTTTAGATGAGGTGGATTGGCTTAATTGGATAACCAAAAAGAGATAGGAGAAGTAACTTTTTTTTTTTGCTTTAATCATTCAATATTGAGAGCTCATCTATGTAATTAATATAGATTCGTGCCGGATAAATTTATTAAGAGATAAATCGCTCTTTACTAAGCTAGTGTTTGACATAGATTTTTAAATTTGTTTTGAAAATTTTTATTTGGGTGAAGTTTGGTTTGAATATGAAAATTTGTTTGGACATAAGTTTGCAAAACATGTTTCACCTTTTTTTTTTTTGAAAAAAATATGAAACATGACTTATATTCACAAGTTCCAAAAACTATCACAAATACCCAACAGTACCTTTATCAATAACATTCATTATCATTATCACAAACCATAGTCCTGAACATAAATAAATTTGGTACAAAATTATCATTTTTATAATGAACTATATAATACACTAGCAGATAACCGAGAAGACAAAGCAGCATTGTTACAAAACAATAAATGGTTGACTCTTTTAAAATACAAAAGTTTGGAGCAATTTTTAAATAATGTAATAGTAAAATTTTGGGCCAAAACTAGCTCTTGAGCTGGTTTTGAGATTTGAGATTTGGGAATTTGCTAAAACATGGATAAAATTTATGAATAAACATGTATTTGCCAAAAAATATTTGGGAAAAATTTGACAAAATTTACGGATTGTTAGTAGCAAAAGGGGCCTCCAGCGACATACAATAACAAGATAAAAGAGAAAATTATAATTGATGTCATAGCTGCATTATTTTCATTGCTCTTTCTACTATAGGGATTGTTATTTGTCAAAGCGATTACTGCTTCTATAAGTTGAATCAAAATGATGTGCTATTTTACATCAGAAGCTACTGTTTTTGTCCTTTATTTGACTAGTCATGCAATTTAAGAAAGAGAAAAAAAAAACTTCAAATTTATTCGAAAACAAAACATAAAAATTTATATAGTTATAAATCATCTAATTAATGATAAACTATTAAATTTAAAGATAAAGTATCTTTAAATAAGGACAAAACCAAAAAGATAGTATGACACATAAATTAAGACAAGAAAAATAATACTACCAATTAAGACAACAAGCCAGCGCCTATAAAAATGAAACTAGTCGCAAATGTTCAAGTTTTATTCATTGACATTGTAATATTCTAACTAATTACCTTGCTATAACAGATTAAATTAGACTGACAATCTAAAAGATTTACATAACATAAAACTTTTATATAAATTCCCAACAAACTTCAACATTTTAACCCTTTTTAGCAAAGTAGTGCATTGAACTTGCCACTAGTTTATACTTTCACAAGTCCAGAGACAGAGGGTGAGGAGATCTTCGAATATGGGCTCAGCCATCCTATCACTCACCCATATACTAATGTTATAAATATTTGGCACAGGTTTCACCATGAATCCGTTATCGTCCAGCGGTTAGGATATCTGGCTTTCACCCAGGAGACCCGGGTTCAATTCCCGGTAACGGAACTTTTGTTTTCCTTACTCAGAAGTTTGGAATATCACAAGTTACATGACTTATGACAATAACGTCACCATTTTGCTTCTGCAGTCTAATTCTTACTTTTCTGGATCGAGTCAGGGATTACAGTTAATTTTGCAAAAAGCTACATATTTCCGGAAGTGAAAACAGAAGAAAATAAAGCTATTTTCTTTTATATGAATCCCGCTTGATCATTTGATAAAATCATTGAAAACCAGCATTTGCTGCCATAAAAAGTTAGTATATGAAAAGGTAATAGTGAGCATACAGTGAAATGTTGGAGGGAGGTAATTAGCTCTTCCTCTTATAATTTTTTGATTGCGCTATTATTTTCTACGATGTATTCATGTGCAACTATTCATTTATCATTTCTACGTAGATTATATGAAATGTCATCAATCCCATAAAATATTATGTAAAAATATTCAAAAAGTAGAAATTCCGTTACGAATAGACAAATCATTTTTCTAACATATTAACTAATTTAGCGTTTACTTCTCTTTTAGGCAAGCAGTGCATGTCATTAGTTTCGCGAGTCAAGAGGGTGAACCCTTGAAAAGAGTTAAAATAATGAAGTAAAAAGTCAAAACGTAAACAAAAACAATTTATATAAGAGCTATCAAGATAAGAAAGCAGAAAGAAGTCATTGCACATGAAAAAGAGAATAATATGGTCGAGGAGTCAAAGATTACTTACTCTTACACAGTGATTTTGCTGTTGCTCCGTCTACTAACTTTTAGTTTCATAGTTATATATAGTAAAAATATATATTGTGTCGAGGTATATATATGCTTTTGGAACCGTTGAATTATCTCAAAAGAGGAAGGACATGAGGCTGTTAGAGCATGACCTAATCATGGTCAACAATGATTCCTCTTCCTCTTTCTTTTTCTTTTTTATTTGACCAATGCTAGATCATGCAAACAGCTTTACTTGTTTCCCTCTAGGCTTTGAATAAAAAGAAAGAAAAAGCAGGTCAACACCTTGCTTAATATATATATGGTACTAATGATGGGAAAAGCAAGCTATAGTAGTTCGAAGAGTTAGAACTTAGAGTAACGTGCATCCTAAATTCGCAATATTGTAAGGGGAGTCAAAATATAAAAGAAACAAACTCACCAAAAAATCAAGGGTGCCATGATATATATATATATATATATGCATATTTTTAAAAAAATTACCGAGCTAAACAGTGTAATTTTCTCAAACGAAGGGGTGTCGGTTGGGTGCATGTGGCTCCGCCACTGATTGTAAGCATACAAAACTAAACGGAATGCAGGCAACATAAATCAAGCTGACATCTCACTGCCTACAACCAGAAGATATTGCTTAGTTCTTTAACTTAACTATTTCTGGTTGCCCTCTATAAATATGTTTTCACAAGTTTCATCCATAAATCCGTTATCGTCCAGCGGTTAGGATATCTGGCTTTCACCCAGGAGACCCGGGTTCGATTCCCGGTAACGGAAACTTTTTTCTTACTCAATTTAGATTATAGCAGCATTAATTGGTTACAACAGAGTAATAACTTTTGCTTATGCATTCCAAAATGCTTACTTTTTTGCTTATGTTTATGTGTTGTCTGTTTATGTTATGTGAGTGTGTAGAGTGAAATTTTGCTTCTAATAAGGAAAGGGGTAGGGAGGTAATTCTCCAAAGCTCTTCCTTTTAGTCACTTGATTTTGGTGACCATTCATAATATCAAAGTGATCAACACTCAAATTCATATCACATCATTGTTATTTGCAGTTTTACCTTCGAGTATTTCCATTAAAAGTTCTTTTTCCCTAAGAGTAGGAAATGCACCTTTGAAAAATCCTCTATGTGACTAGAAACTGAAGAAAAATGATTTGGGAAAAGCACTTCTTCTATTTTCAAGTTAGTAATAAGTCATTGGTCAACCTTCTTTGCAACTTGCAAGGAATACTTGAATGTAGAACAGAGTTCATGTCTGTTCATTGTGTTCCAGTGAAGGTGGATCTTGTCTCATTGGAATCACAATAACCGACAAGTTATCACTACTACCTTTGCTAAATGCATTTTGGACAATGCAGTCGGCTAAAGAGGATGATGATGGACATAAAGATGTGTCAATGGATGTCTCGTTCTCTTTAGCATGTCCGCCATGTAAAATATCACAGACATCCTGGGGACTCATTCTCTCAAATATGCCATCAGATCCTATCACCAAATAGCAGTCTTCAGTTGTCAAACGTCTCCAACCTGTGACCTCTAGTTCAGCAATAACTCCATACCTGGAAATACCAAAAGCAAATAGATCAGAGGAAGCACTCTGCTTGCTGAGCATGTCAAATAGATGAAAAACCAGTTTGAGTCAAAAAGGACAACTAGCGGCAAAAGGTATGACGATGCACCTTTTCAAGCCAATATCTCCAATAGACCGTGAGACAGCCAATATACCATTGACACGAGGCACACCAATAACAAGGACAACCCCGCCAGCTGCTTCAATTCTAGCCTTTTCATCATCTCTATCAGGATGGTGATCCTTTGTTAGTTCCTCAGCTTGAAGTTTAGTCCCCAAATCACCTGAACGGTTCAAGCAGGACAGACAGTATAAAAGGATAGTAAGGAAAATGGAAAGCTGACAGAAATAATTGGCCTTTTACCAGGAGCAACAATGTGCTAACCAACAGAGAGTTTTAGCGAACAATAGTTGGAAGATTTTAAACCTTCACTGTCCTGATCAAAATGAGTTCTCCTCGAGCATAAGAGTGCTTTCGAGTCCCCCAGATTACCAACTAATATCTGCCCATTCATCCAAAGAACAACTGTTGCAGTTGATCCAGATATGTAGTCATTGTTCAAAGCTTCCTGCAGAGAGAAGGTTACTTGAAAATCCGTAGGGCAGCTTAAGAAAACAACAAACAAGGAGAATAGTATGTGCCTGTGAAAATTCTGAATCTATATCTTGGATTGTTCTCAAGAGGGCTTTCTCTAGGATGCCATGTACCGATTCCTCATCAACTACACATAATGCCCCATTAGAACTGTGTAAAAAACAAACATCAATACTTGTACTGGTGAGAGTAGATTTATAGGTAGAACTACTTTCTAGTGGTTTGCGATGCATCAAAAGTTTGTATTCACATGCTTTCTGTTTAACAGAATTACCAACTCAAATGCAGATGCAATGATAGAGGTGTTTCATACCATTTATATAGCAAGATTGAGGGGTTTGGCAAAGTATTGATGCAGAAAATAACCAGAGATAATAATAACCAGTTCTAAATTTCAAGCTATATTGACCTGCTTCTTCATGTTCCTTACTGTGTGAGAAGAGTTTCTTGTATGTGTTGAAAACAACATGCAATAAAAAGTAATCTAAAAACTTTTGAGAAGCCATCTCACTAGCTTCCCTGCCTCCATGTCCATCAAAAACTGCCGCTATACCCAGGCTAGCTTCGTTAGGACCATCTTCACCTAGTGATCATGAAGAAAAAGATGAGCAGGATGAACCAGGAACTTGGCATAGTTTACAAGGTAATGCTAAACTACCGTGTTTGTTTTGATGTCTTCAGCATGTTTTACAACAAAGAGATTGATCATCATAATGTCTTCAACATTCGACTTGTCTAAAGAGTTCCTCAACTCTCACGTATTAGTGGCTAGCCTCTTTTTGGGTCACATTCCTCAAAAGAAGAGGGCTTCTAATAGGTGCGACCTTTGTAGTTTCTAGATAGCATACTGCTAAGGAGCCCTAGTTAATAAAAGAAATAAAAGGCAATAACTGTTACCAGAGGCCTCACAAGGTAGGGGTAAGGTCTGCGTACACAATACGCTCCCCAGACTCCACGGTGTGGGATAATACTGGGTATGTTGTTGTTGTTGTTGTAGCTATTACCAGAGGCGGATCCAGGATTTTAATTCGATGGGTTCAAGACTCGGGTTCCAAGTTCCAACACTAGTTCAAGTTATGGGTTCATACTTCTATATGTTCAACAATTCCAGTTGATTTTACATAAATAAATCCAAGTCTAGACTGACAGTTATGGGTTCAAATGAACCCACATTAATAAGGCTGGATCCGCCCCTAGCTGCAGCTCTTTTATAACAAAGACAAATCTGAATAAGGCAAGAAGAGTTTGAAACTACCTAAAACAGGAAGAGTAACACGAGGATAACATATAACACGGTCTTCTTGGTATTTCCTACGCCCCTGATGTGTAGCTACCAGGCAGTTATCAGTTCCATTTTGAATAGCAGCAGAAAATACCCACTGAGGACATTCAGGTGAGCTAAAAACTGCTGAAGCACCACCCTCATCATAAGCCATCATACAGGATACTGAGACCTCATAAGCATAACTCAAGCAAAGAAATGCTCCAAAGAGAAGTGCAACCTTTTCTCCTTCCATTGTAAACTCTGCCATCAAAACCAAGCCATAATTTATGACACGACATTTCAAACAGACACGGAAATTTTGAGTCCATTATATATCCAACTTCCTGGAGACGAAAAATTTGAGAGTTAGTTTTGCTTAAGTAAAACACACAGTGTCTGGTTGGTGCAACAAATATTTACATAATCAGGTTAATTAACAATTAACTGCTGATTTTTTTTTTTTTTATCAAAGTGCTCTTTTTAGCCAATCTTGATGTAGCATAATAACCTGGAAAAGAGGGTGACTAGCCTGTTGAAGCCTGTCAAGTGATAGTACTTTACATTGTCGGTGGATAATGTAAAGTAACATACTTTCAAAATAACGTATGTATGCATATATGAGCATACCCAAGTTTTGGTACTTTTTCCAAAATTTAAATGATTTTTAAACCAATTTATTGCCTATTTTAATACCACAAAATCCAATAATTGTTCCCCAAATTATCATTTTGGTGGATAAAATCTAAATTCGCCTGACTGCACGCATCGCAAAGCCAAAAAAAAGAGAGGCAAAACAAACAAAACAAAACAAGAAGGAAAAAAGAAATCAATATTGTAATAAACACAGTCGGATACTATTCGGCCATGATATAGAATACTGGAGACTTGTATGTAGCTTCCGAAACAGGAAAAGAAGATAAAACAAAAGCAGTTTGACCAAGTAGAGGACACTCTGCGCTGCAAACAGATGCGATCAAAACTGTAAACAGATTCACAAGGACAAATGTAACTGATACCAAAAGGTCTTAAAATTGCAAACACATCCAATGCTGCTCCCCATATTGCTCTTTTTTACTTTTGTTATGCAGCAAGTCAGCAACAACAATTACGCCTCAGTCTAAAACAAGCTGAGGTGAGCTATATAAATCCTCCTGACCACGTTACTGCATTTAGATCATCTCCCTTTTACTTTTGATATGCTGGAATCTTTTTTCGTTAGAAATATTGTCCTTGCTCAAATCATTTTTAATGTTCTTTTCTTCACCCCAATTAAACTCAGCTCTAGGTGGGCTATAATTTTTTATTCCAAAAACAGATGAATAAAGAAGTGTAGCAGGGCATTAGACCATGCTACATTGATCCTACTCTAGGAGAAACATACTTCACCTTTACACATAATTAGAACTAGAAACAGTAAGAAATCCTAAGACCAATGATGAAAGCCACTAGAAAGAAAAACGCTAAAAATCTCCCTGCCTAATACTGGTTTCGTACCATACCGAGAATTAGGAATAGAAAGGACCTCTTTTACTTGTTGGCACATGTCATTTTCCATAAGACCTCACAAATATACAAACTCTTGCTTTATATCACTTTGCTTCCATCAATACTTACCAAAATACTATCCTCATATCCGATCTTCTACTTTATATGATCACTTTATCGCCACTTACTTTTATACTCTACAAAAACAGGAAAATAATCCAAAACATGATTTCGTGAAGTAAGTTATTTTCGATGGAAAACATTTTCCTCGAAATCAAACGTACTCTTATTTTTCTTTTTCTCCTAAAATTGTCGATTAATTCCTAACATACCCAAAACAAGCAAGAAGAAATCAGTCCCGAAAATACACAGATGAAAAACGCAAGCTTTAACTCAATCTGCTAACGAATAGTTAATAAATTTGAAGCATTATGTAGCAGATGGAAAAAACTGCAATATTTCCTTAACATATAGTCATCTATATACGAAATAACCAACTTAATTTCGTGCATATTACCATAAATCAAGGTGCCAATCTTGCATTGCCTGTGCGTTATTATTAATGGGAGAAAGGATAAGATTCCAGAGATCGCAAGTGGAAAATTTCAACTTTCAGCAAGGAAATTGCGTTTATGGGCCGGGTAATAAATATCTTGGTCCGTAAAGCGGCCCAATATCTGAAGGACTTTTAATTTGTCAAATTTTCGCAGGTTGTCCCCTTTTTTTTTAATCAACTAGGCCCCTATAATTAGTACAAAATTAAAAAAAATTATATCGTTTTGCAATGGATATTAAAACGTTTTGAATCATAATTGCATTTATAAGAAAAGGATTGCACTTAGAAATCATAACAATCTGAACATTCAAGCCAAGAAAAATAGAAGGAGAGGATAATATAAGAAGTGTAAATGTTAGCTCAAAAAAATTATTATACTCATAGAAAGTTAAAAAACTTAACTTTGTAAAGTGAAGAATTTAGATTCATGTACCTTAATAAATTCTTTGACAATCTCAAGTCAAATATAACGTTACAAAACTAACTTTTGTAGTTTACATATTATTAATATTGAAGGTATTATTATTAATATAAATTAAGGGCATAAAAGTCCAATAATATTATAGGGTTATTTCAGTCTTTATCATAGGGTCATTTCAGTCTCTCACATTCAACTTTTGATCTTCATGCTTATAGTATAGTTGCTTAACTAAAAAATAAAATTTCGACTAAAGCTATAATTTAGAAGAACACGGGTTACTGATAATCGCAAGAATGTATAAAAGAAATAATTTGAATAGCCAGAATATAATTGAATAAAGCAAGTAAACCAAAGTATATTCAGACGATCTTTCGTGTCTCTATAATTGTTCAGTCTTCTCCTTTTATAGCTATTTCAGATGTAATTGCCTTACTTTGGTCATAATAAGGTTATTATGGACAATAAATGACATTGAATGCTACGTTACATAATTATTACATTTAAGACAGATTCTCTAACGTTTTCAGCATTTAATGCTTATCAAATACTGTATTTGGACCCTCGTATGCTGTCAGATTCATTCCCTTGACTCTTCTTGATTATTGAACTTAAATTTCTTGAATAGGTGCGGGCGCTGAATCCTTTAAATAACCGCCCGTGCCTCTTCCTTTGCTTTTGCTCGCATCTATTACTACTCGTGCCTTTTGGCTAACCGCAACTCTTTGACTGTTTGACCAGCCTACGTGTCATGACACGTCATCTTCATATTTTTTTAATATGTAAACTCAATTTTTCCCAATACAATAGTAGTATGATATGATATGATGATTAGTAAATGATGATGGAATTTTTAAGCCAGTCTAAATTTTTCTTTGATCAAATTGAAAGAGAGAAAATTAAACCATAATCTAATGTTTATGCGCAAAATGAAAATTATAGGAGCAAACACCAAAATCTGAATCTAATGTTGTCGAAAAAAATATGGATACTGGATAATGAAATTCAGCAACTACGCTATCAATATATCATATATTCGCGAGACGCTCTGACTGTTGTCTTTCCTTTGTCAGCGTCCAATCCATTTGCTACTCTTTGACTGTCTGTTCTCCTCCTCTGTATTTTGAATTCAAACTTTACTCCACATTGTACTCATTGATGATTAATAAATGCGTTGTCCTTCAAACTTTTAACTTCAAAATTTAGATGAAACGGGTATCATATAGCACCAGCAATGCAGAGACATAAAGGCGGTTCTCTCACAAAATTTAGTTCTTATGTGCAGCATCCTGTTGTGTAGTCTCGGTTAACGAGTAGCTGACTTAACTAACTTTCAGGGTTGACCCTAAAACAAAGAAACAATAGAAAGAGGAATTAACAAATTTCAGGAACCTAACAATCACAGATTGACAAGAATATAACTGGCATATCGAGCTATGTGGTTCAGAAAAACTTAGCCCTTTTGTCTTCCTTAAAATATTCAACAAGCAGGAAAACTTATTTTAAACGATAAGGATAATCAGAGTGCACTACCAATTCACATTCTACGTCACACAGTTTTATGCGAGAAGTTTACTCCTTTTTCTCGCACAAATTTGTGGACCCCAATTTTACACTTCTGGGTCCACAAAATCTGGTTCCACAAAACTGTGAAACAAAAAAGGTATACAACTAATGTCAATTGTATGAGACACAAAATAAAATTTTCCGTTTTATGCCGGTTTGCCTCCATCTCCCAGGCCCCAGCAACAACCATTGAAACAATAATTGCATTTGCTAATTCAAATTAGAAAAAGAAAAGTACAGACAATAAAATTGGGCATATGATTCCAAGTTAGTGAGGCTACTGAGAACAGGTTTTAGCAATATGGACAATGATACTGCCTAAAAGTTAATACAATAAATGCAGACTAGCTCCTACAAGACTTTGAAAGCACAAACACCGCATGGCGGATAACTATTTCTCACTAGTTCTCTCTTCATTTACATGAGTACAGAAAATAGCCTAAATAGAAATGGCATTTTTTACATATATTAGTGAACAAAAGGGGGCTACCAGCACCCTACTTCATTCAACTATCAAGAGGCTAGAACATGTTGTGGCCTCCACAAATTTCAGATGAAGACAAAATCGATATCTGTTGTGCGCCCCTGACCGTATCCAATGATCATTCTTTAAACATCTGAAAAGCAACAAAATGTATCAAACACTTGGCTGATTTAAATGTTTCATATATTTCATCTTTTATGGTGAATGGCTGGGTGGAGATGGAAGTTGGCACAGTTCTTGTGAGACTGTTTTAAGGAGACACAAGCAAGAAAATGGCTAGTATAGTAAATACTCAATTCTTCTAGTTGTAATGGCATCTAGCAATGAATAAATGAGATATGTTATAGGAGATCTCAAGCAAACAAGGATGAATGCACTCAATGGAGCTATTCGCTCCTGTATTCACTATTTAATTACTTACAATACATCACTAAAGGGAGGATAGTTGGTTCAATAAGGCAATAGTTGTCTTTCAACAGTCAGTAACACAGAAGTCGGATGCTATCTTGCAATTCGGTTGGCCAACAAGAATCATTGAGGAGCTTAGTGAGAACAGATTCAGAGGTTAAAATGCAACTTTTGTGATTAACGACCTGGTTCTTATGAAAGCTATGAGTATTTTATTGTTTTGAAGCAATAACACTTACTTCCTAAATGATGGGAAAGTTTTCAGTCAATAACAAATCTCTATATCATGCACAGACTAATTAAAGAAGCAAAAAGAAAAAACATTATTGTAGAACATTTGAAAGTACTATGACCACTAAAATAGTGAGGTTATTCAAGGGATAAACAACATCACCTCTGTCATTGGGACCACTAGAAAAAGTAGCATTCATCTGAATATTTTCTTCTATGGGACCACTTGGTGTAGGTGCAGAAGATAGTCTAATGAGGGGCGGAAAGCAAAGATCAGTCCTACTTGAGTGCTCCATTGGGATAAGAGCTCCCATTCGATCATTTAAACGGATATCCAAGCTAGCTGTTGAAGTTATTTCTACCTTTCTCTTGCACTTAAACCTTCACCTAACAGAGACGTGAGAGACAGAAGGAAACAGAAAACAAGTGCGAATATTTTGTTTCACTTTTTCATACCAAGCAGCTCAGTTATAGCAATACCTGTCTTTTCGCTTCTCAAGATATCGTTGTACTGATGCTTTCCTGCTTGAGGGGTTCTCTACTGCTTCTGGGGAAACATAAAATAAATGCGGAAGAAAATTACGCAGAAATTGTTAATGTTCATATAGTTTTCAGCATAAGGTACTTCACTATAATTCCTTCCACAGAAAAGGAAACAGCACTAGACCAACATTTTTCACAAAGTCACCCACCAACACTCAGAATACATTTGTAGGCTTCAAATGGTGTTTCCAGAGTAACTAATTATATTCCTTAAAGGATATGGTTAGCATGGAAAGGAAGTTTTTTACTTCTAGTATTTCCCCCCTTTTCTATAAGATCGCTTCCTTCTTTAGTGGATCTTAAAATGTATTTCATATTATATTTCAATCTATACTGGAACAAAGTACCCTAATATTCGCAAATGTCGTAGTGCCCAATAAGCAATTTGTGTGGAAATGAGAAAAGAATAAAAACATAACGAAGACTACCAGGATTGTCATCATATAAGCTGTTTCTTTCTTCTACACGCATTCGAGAACCTCACTCATTTTTAGTAAAAGATCAAACAAAAATGTTTTGGCACAGGATACAGTGAACGTCTTCCCTGATGATCCCAGGAAAAAGACTCATCGCTCACAGGAGTCATAATGTACAGTGATATTTTCTCCACCAATATATGACATTTAGGATCATAAAGTTGTTGCATTTTCTTCATATTGACTTCTTATGGTTGCTTTATTTTTGCAGTAACCTTCAGTTTGCCTCACTAAAATCCTTAGAAACAAACACTACTTAATTCACATTCTCAACTCGCCATTGTAAGCAAGTAAAGTACAACAAGACAGAAAAGTTATGCACCATAATGCAACTAATGACCTGTTTGAATAGTCGGCAGAAGTACCATATCAGAATCTGGGCGTAGTTTAGTATTTGCAACCTGTAAGCAGCATGTTGAATGTTGAGCTGCTACAGTAGCATTCAATGGAGTTTCTGAAGGCACACAAAGGGAGCTTGAAGCAACACGCATGATTGTTTGTGCCTAAAAATATCCGAGTTGGTCGTATCAGGAAAAAAGTGAAACGACACTGATTTTCTGAAGTTCCCAATTTTCAGCAAGCTTAAATACCTTGTCAGCAGGCACATCATCATAGACATTCACCTTGCCGCTGTAGAAGATTGTCATTTGTCCTGCTGATGTATCTACTGAACCTATTGTTCTAGAAGCACCAATAGAAAAGCTCTCAGTTTTTGAAGTTAGATACAATGCAATTTTCTTTTGAAGGAAATGCTAGTCAAATGAGGTCCGTGCATTTATACATATGCAGAATCACAAGTTACCTTGTGATGCCATTTCAAATAGAGTAGCTTCCAACAAACTATAGGTTATATTGGGATATGCAAAAAACAAGAGCTGAAGGTGGATATATTTGGAACTGGTGATTTGTTAAAAATAGACAAAGTATCTACCTAAGTGCTAAATGATGAATTTGTCACAATAACAATCTATGGAGATGAAACTATTAACTTAACAAGAGATCACCGGAGGAGCTTGTGGAACCATTGATGTCTAATAGGAGAAAAGACATGAGGGACTTCAAGAACACCTATAACTAATTTTGTATTACTTGTTGTATTCTAAGACATGTCAGAAAGCTTTGGTTTCTGTTGAGTCAGTTGCTGCCTAGTAGCACATGTGCAATTACTATTTAATGATTTATGATCGTAGTCAACTTAGTCCATAGACTTCAACATCTTTCAACTGTACATATTGTGGTCACCCTAAAAAGTTATTTAGGGGCAAAATTTCTGGCATAATGACACTCTGAATATTACTTGTGGTGTTAGAACATGGGACACAGTAAGTGGAGTATTAACAATGGTGTAAACAACTGGTAGTATAAGAAACCAAATGCATATCATTGGCAGGTACATTTACCTCCTAATTCCATTCAAAGTGCACTAAAAAATTGAAGTTCATCATCAAGACTGAATATTTATATGCTCTTCTAACACTCAATCACATTACTCGCAATACTTTAACCACAATTCTTAAAGAACATAAATAAGGGAAGTATCGCCAGTAAGCCACTTATTATACAGAGAATTCAAGCAAGAGATATACAAGGAGGCCAGGTTTGAGACAGAGGGACAGAGAGACCGATTTGACAGGCACGAGCTAGCCGCTATTTCATAGACATGATGAAAGTCAGTATTCAAGAGGAAAAAGCTTCAAACTCAAGCGCCTTTTTTCTTTAATAACAATAAAGGAACCACCCATTGAGCACAATGTAGAGCTTATTGTCAATCAATCAATCAGTTATGTCTCAATTCCAAACTTATTAGGATTGAATATAGGAATTCTCTATAGCCATTCAGTTCTATTCCAGCCTTTCGCTCCAATACCAAATTTCAAGCTATAATTCTAGAAGTTTTGTTGCCTCCAAAAAGCAATCAAGAAGACGATGACTCACCTAGAAGGAGCTGATTTATCAATAGCAGCAACCAGATTGGGAGTTGCATCGCCGGAAAGATCAGCTTTATCCTGTAGTGTTCTTCCATCAGGCACTGTCTCTTCAGCCAATTCGATAAATTCTTCATCAGTATTTTTCCCTCTCTGGACCTACATTAGTTTTTAGAACTATTTAATATTATACACACATAAACATGCACTAATACATTTACAGTATTGACTTAAGATCCAAACATCATACAGTACTAACTACCAGCGCACTATAACAAAAAATAGGTCAAATATTGCTACGAAATAGATAGAGGAAACGCACATGGTGTAACTTAGTGTCGGAGCGAGGAATGTAAAGTTTCTTCCGAGTGCCGGCGTCGGAATCTGGCGTCGTCTCAAGGAGAGCCTTCAGTGATATCACTTGCTGAATCGCCTGTGATTTATTCCATGACGGCCTTCTCATACCTGTACGGAACACAATACAGCAGCAGAGGCAAAATTTCAATTTTTTTCGCATTTTTCATCACTAATACGTTCTATGTACGTAATGAATGCAGTAGAAGAGGAGTGAGTACCTTTAAGTTTGAGGTAACGGCGGCAATCTTCGCGAGTGAGCTGAGAAATGTCATCTTCAGTGAGTTGCTGAAGCGGCTTGTCGAGAAGTGACTTCGAAACTGATTCTTCCGGCGGCATGCTGTCAAGTTCCGGCGTTTAATTCGTCGGAAATCGGTAAAACTCGTCGGATAATCGGAAACAAAATTATGCAAAAACTTTTGGGCGGGGCTGTTTCTTTCTATATTTTGTTTTACCCGGAAAATTGTTAGGAGTCCCTGTACCCTATAGCCGCACTAAAAATAATTGCGAAATATATATATAATTTATATATCTATATATATATATATATATATATATATATATATATATATATATATATGTTATATATAAAAATTATACAAATTTTATATATTTTTTCGGCTACCGGATATAATAATTTCTGGCGCGGGCTAAAAGTGATAATACCCTCACAAAACATTCAAGCCCACATAAACCTGTCATTATCATTAACTTAGAGTAATCATTATCATTATCAGTCCCAGACCCTTCTTCCAAAAATAATTTTCATTTTTCTTTGAAAATGTTTTCCATATATTGATAGGTGTGTGAAATAATTTTATTTAGAAAATGTATAATATTAGAGATTTACTCTAATAATATCATTTAGTTGAAATAAATAATATAAATTTATAAGTTAAGATAGTTTAAGGAAAATGACTTCTGTCCATAACAACTTTTTTTGGATAATTGGTATGTATCGTTTTATAAATGTATCATATCGTATTGTATTGTATTGTATTTATTATATTTTTTTATATTATTTTGATTAATGCTATAGATTATACCGTTTTCTATTGTTTCATTATGTAACCCACCAATAATTTAAGGAATAAGCTTACAATATTATATAAAAAAAAAGTACATCTAGAGTTATTATAAGAAAAGATAAAATATAATTGTTAAATACTAATAATTAAGGACATAATGAGAAAAAAACAAAGATAGCGTTGCAACTACATCGAATCGGTTGTTACGCAAAATGAATTTTTTTATTGTTACATAACAACGATTTAAAAATACCATACAATAAAATTTTAGTAACAATCAAAACAAGTAGCGTATTTAAAGTAAGGTTCATAAAATATTCTTAATTGGTGATGCATTGAAGTTTTCTTTTACGAGCTCTGTAGTCTATAGTAAGACTCTTACTGTTCACTTTTGTGCTGAATGTAAATTATCTCGTCCTCATAAATTCCTCTTTAAATGTTGTCAGGCGAATCCCTGTTTCTTTCAAAACAAATTTGATAGAAATCTAAATTGTAAGAATTTCAGATACTTTAATGCACATTTATTGATTGCTTGACCAAATCTCTCACATGTTGTTTGATTCATTTCCACGAGCCTAACGAGAAAAATATCTTTGCTTTCTCGCCTTTGTTGTACTCATTCAAATTGCAATAAAAAAATTAAAAAAATAGAACAGAAAGATCAATTTGTCAATATGTGACACCTTTTTCCATTATGTTGCTGTCAAGGGCGAAGTTAGGGGAGGAAGGGGCGCTGGAAAATCACATTGTATATATATTCGATTCACACGTTGTAAAAAGGATTAACCGCATTGTAAAAAGTAGAGTCATTACCATTTTGTAGTTAATTTTGTAATAACCTTATTTTCAATACATAAACCTTATGCTATGTGATATTTGACCAAATTGATATCTGAATATTGAAGAGTATAAATTGAAGTCTGACAGTAGAACTTCATATCACCTAGTAATAATTTGTGTTTTATAACCTTAAATAAAAAAAATTCTTACATCAACAATTGTAGATGACAGAAAAAATAATTACTTATTCACACGCCATATATACTAAACTAATAAGTGTGCGACATGTATTTATTACATAAGTTTTATCGATTAACTATGACATAGATTTCAATTTAGGTTATCATTTTGGTGAATCAACCGACTAACTTAAAAATATGGTGGAGTACCATCAAGAGGTATAGGGGAATGAGAAAAGTTTATCCACTTTTAATTAGAGTTTTTAAATTTGAGCCTTGAAAATGTAATCCTCTTTGGTAATAAGAGGTAGAACTCCTCCCTAATGTGTTTTTTTATAATACAAATTTAAATTAGTTGCATCAACAATTCCAAATATTGAATAATTTTAAAAGAAATCGAGAAAGAATAATGGTTGGTTTAAAGGTAACAATGCGGCAAATAGACTCCCCCTTCCACCCCCTATTTCCACTCACTGATTAGGTCACGAAGATGAATATTTCAGGTTAATAACAAAAATAATCTTGAAATGAGTTGATCTTGAACTTTTCACCTTTGTGGTATGTCAACTGACTAATGAGCAAAATTTCAAGTTTAACGAGAACTTTTGACCTGAAAAATTTGCCCATTGGCCAAGTGATTTGCCCAAAAGTTAAAAGTTCAAGAGCGCCTTTTATTGTGCCCAATTTCTGCCATTTTTCTACAATATTTCATAAGCAAATGATGGGCCCACCATGAGCCAATGACTAGATTGTTTAACCAAAAATTAGATTTTAGGTCAAAGCTTAAATTTAGAAAAATTCGGGTTACTGATAATCGGAAAAGTATATAAGAAAGAGATTTTAAATAATATAATCAGAAAGCAAATAAAACAAAGTATATTCCAGTACAATTCAAGCGTTCAAGGAAAAAGTTTTATGTGGTAAAAGGTGAAAGGAAAAATTGAATTGATACTGATGGGCGACCGTGGTAAAAATTTGTGGAAGAAGGGTTAAGTTTATATAAAAGCGACCGTCAAAGACTAAGAAGTGTAATGATGGAAAGCCTATAATAAAGGCAACTATCACTTCGTGAATAGAGGAGTTGAAGAAGCCTTTGAAAAAGGCTGCAGAAATTGCAAAGCTAATGAGAGGGTGACACGTATGCAATGCATTAAATAGAAAAGACAACTGAAGCGTTAGTACTGTCATAGCATTGATTATGGCAAAAATTCCCTTTTTAATGAAAGATCAACTTCCCAAATATTTAATTGATAAATAAATGGAAAGTGGGGGGACTATCTGTATTGGAAAAAAACTGAATTTAAATATTGAAGATGACGTGTCATGACACGTGGACCGGTCAAATAGTCAAAGCGTGGTAATCAGTTAGAAGGCACGAGCAACAACAGATGCGGGAGAGAAGATACTTAAAGGCACGAGCTATTATTCAAATGAAACGAGACTCGTACCTGTTCGAGTCATTTAAAGATTCGAAGATCAGAAGGAATTGAAGACATGAATCTGATAGCGAAAAAGAGTCCAAATTCAGCATTAAATGCCAAATACGTTAGAGAATTTGTATTTAATATGAATGATTGAGTAACGTTTCTTTCAATGTCATTTATTGCTCGTAATTGCCTCATTAAAACAAAGGCATTACACTTTCTCTTAAAAATTAACTATAAAAAGAGGAAGTCACAACGTCTGTAGGACACACGAAAAATACTACTGGAATATACTTTGTTTTATTTGCTTTCTGATTATATTAATTAAAATCTCTTTCTTATATACTTTTCCGATTATCAGTAACCCGAGTTCTTCTAAATTCAAGCTTTGACCTAAAATCTAATTTTTGGTTAAACATAGATGGGCACAAATATTGCTCCATAATTCGACACGTTTGGGATTTGGTCTAATTCAAGATTAGAAAGAGCTTATCAATCACTTTCAAAACTTTCCTCTTTTATTTATTTTATTGGAAAAATAACATTGTATAGCCGCTGTAAAAATAATAGCCGTAAAATATATAAAATTTGTATATTTTTTGTATATATATTTGGTATGTTATATATAAAAATTATACAAGTTTTATATACTTTTTCGGCTACCATATATAAATAATTTTTGACACGCGCTAAAAATGATAATACCATAGATTTGCATATATGCATTGTTACTTATTTCCATTTTTGCCTTCCGTTTTAAGTTAAGGCCAACTTATCCTGTAAAGTAGATTTAAAATTGGATCGAACTGTTTGTTTGTTAGGCCCAACCTCTCACAAGGCTTTCCTACTTTTTCCTTTTATAAACTTGTGATGCTGTCTCCTGGTTTTTAGACAGTGGCGCACAAATTTGGGCGAAGTGCATTATTAGCCATTTTTAAGCTCGTTCTTCAAAATATGTCTGTAATTTATAATATATTTAAAGACTAACTAATTCATCCAAATTTCAGGACTAAGTATTCCGAATTTAGAATTCATGACTTAGTGTCCTGCATTTTTGAGCTACTAATTTAAAATTCAAGCTACTTTGTCCTAATTTCCGAACAACTAATTTAAAATTCAGGACATAATATTCGAACTACTGACACAATTTTCGAACTTTAAGATACGATGTCCTGAAGTTTGAACTTTGAGGTTTAAACTTCGGGACGTTCTGCCTTGAAATTCGAACGAATTGATTATTTTTAAATACATTATAAACTTTGAATATATTTTAAACAGTAAGCTTAAAAGTGGCTACCTGATGTTATTTCCACCACAAATTTGTACCTCACACTACAAACCCAAGACAATAGAAAACCTTACAAAATTAAAATTAGAAACAAATAGCTGAGTAAAAGGGATTTTTTTTTACCTTGAGAATTGATATGTTTGGAGTTTGGACCCGAGATATTTCATTTGGGCATAAATAATAATTCGATTTTTGCAACTTGATTGACATGAATAATTGTAAATACATCACTTAATATTTGAACATCAAGTGATTTATAAGATACTTGTTTAAATGTGTTTGTTAAGTGAAGAGTTGGTTTTTATTCACAAATATTTAAACTTTTCTCAAGTGTAGTTATGTTGTTTCTTAAAGTGAAGTTTATGTTCAAAAGCAAGACTTCCACAAACTTGTTTACAACTTCAAATTCAAATATATTTTTTTTTAATTTTCAATTTTCAACTTCAACTCAAATAATGTAGGAATTTTTATCTCCTATAGCAAACATTTACACCTTATTTATTATAAATAAATATTTTTTTATAAAATTATATTCTGTAGCTACCTTTTAGGTTTTATAGCAAATTGTCTATTTATGGTCACTTCCTATTGTTAAGCCATTAAATACGCTCTGAAATATTTTTCTCTCTCATACTTTCTATTCTCTCACTCTCAATAACACCGGTATTGTATGCAAATTTGTTAAACCCACGTTCTCTTTCCACTATCTCTCTCCCAACCCAGTATTTTCCCCACGAATATAACCTCCATTATCAACTGATTCATCTCCATTC